ATAGGCTTGATCAAAATACTAAAAATACTTGACAACACATTTTATTAAAAATTATTTGAATGTGCAAACAATTTTAAAAAAATAAAAAAATAGTCAACATCTTTGTAAAATGCAAATAAAATGACTAAAAATGTAAAAATCTAACATCAATGTTTTTTTTAAAAGGGGGAGAAATACAATGTATTTTTGTTTGTACCGCTTAATGGGTAGGTGGGCTTGTTTACAATAATTGTTAACATAATTCACCAAAAATACTGGGTTGTTTTTTTTAAATGGCAATGTGCACCTCCTTTTCAACATTGACTCTTGATCTTAACTTGGATTTGATAACTACAGGTGCTGAATTCTGATTCACAAAGGCAGGATATTGCAAGGGAAGCAGAATTCATAGAGCTCTGTTGCTTATTCCTTGGTACTCCAATAGTATGAGTTTTTTTTGCATTGGGCTACTCGGTATGCTACTTTGTATGATGAAAAAAGAACTTTGCTGGGGACTGTAGTTTGGTTAGAAAAAGCAGCTTTCTGTTCATTCATTAAACTTGTGCGAAAAATACAAGGTTTGTTTATCAAACTACTGTGAACAGTTTCCAAATTACGTTTAAATTTATTGGGGAGCATGCTCTCAGCAGCCAACACTTTAAGGCAGACAACACACTGAGGACATTCTTAAGTGTCCACAATTGTGCATGTGAAACTGAAATTCAAGAAACTCTCGTCATACTTTCCGTATTTGCGTTTCCATTTTTCTTTAGAACTAGGCTCCATGACCATCACGGTTTTTACTCATATTTAAAAACCTTTCAATTGCTAGGTAGTGCGTACATTACTACAGATGCAGCCATTCAAAATGCGCGGTACAAACCCGCGGTACGGTAAACGACCCACAAGCCACCGCGGGGCTCCGCAGGGCACCGCGGTAAATGATTGGCTGGACAAAATGACCGACAGGGGCACTCGTGGTGCATTGGTTGGTAGTGAAAAGATTTGATCATTTAATGTCTTTTCTGTGCACATTTTAATCCGCTTAGTTTTGAATATTTATATGGAATTGTACCACTAAATGGAAATTTTAGTATCTGAGCAGTAGTTTAAAGAAAAAATACACATCAGTCTTCCATTTCTCCATAAACATTTTAAGCATGAAAGTTTTATGAAACTGTACCCAAATATGCGATTGCTGTATAGAATGAATTTTAATTTCTACCGGACTGTTACACCAACGCATTAGCATGTTAAAGCGATTTCATTGAGGAGCCTAGCTTTCTTAACTAGTAAGTACTGTACTTCCTTGGTTTTGGAGGGGGGAGGCGTCTTTTGCTGGAAATCTCGCCCCCTTCTACTTTGAAAATACCTGTGAAACCGGTTTAATTAGTCACAGCCAGCACTCCCGCAGAGAGGCGGGTTGTACTCGTTAATGTCTGAGCCGTAACACATCATTATATGTCATTTTATATTTCTATAAAAAAATTGTTTGCCCAGCCTAACACTATTGTTGTTATTGTTTTTATCCTGTAAAGCGCTTTGAGGAGCACAGCTTTCTCACCACTTAGATTACTTTTTGATACCATCCTTACACAAAGCAGAAACTTCAGAAACTTCTTTTTTCTGAACCAGGGAAAATCTGATCATGTTTCTCTATAACAATAAAAAACTTTATTTTACATATCATCTTTAAAAGTGGCATCTCAAAGCAATACAGTAGATGTAAACCACAGATTACAAAATAAATACCCAGACAAACGCAAACGTGTTTTTAATAAAATGTTTTTATTCATTCAGCAGAGCGTAAAACCTGGGCGTAACAGCTGTTCCTTTTTCTGATCACTCGCTCTCTGGATAAACGTCTCGCCTGTCCTGTTCTTTGTTTTCCTAATTTGCTGATTATGCCTTCTGCAATCCACTCCTGCCCTCACACCTAAAGAAGACTATTTAAAATTTCTTTGCGCGGTCCATTGTGCAATTAACCGTTGTATGTGCTGCCCTTAAGGTGATATCACATAAAGGTGATATGTAAAATAATGTTTTTTATTATTGTTTTAGAGAAGCATGATCAGATTTTCCCCGGTTCAGAAAAAAAGATCTAAAGTACTGTATACTAGTTTGTCACTCTTCTCATCCCCTCTTTGCTAAATGGCTTTTGAATAGAGTCACATGAAGAGAGAGGTGAAACAGCCCTGTCGCAGTACACAAATATAATTATATCTTATTAATTTCTATAGATACGCGATTCTTTTAATACAGTCTTTGCTGTGCTCTTGAGGATCCTTGTGATACTTCGAGCTCTGGTTGAATGATAAGTGTCGCAGTTTAAATAATTTTCGTAGTTAGAAATTATGAAACGCTCTGTTAAAAGCAAGGGAGTTTTTATGTCCATTGCAGTAAAAGAACATGCCTGACAAAGTAGGGCTTGGACAGATTCCAAGTGCATTTTTGCAATTTACGTTGCATTGTGCATTGTGCTGCTGTAATACAGTTTAAAATAATTAAAAGTCTAAACAGTATCAGCTTTATTTATGGGTTGCAATTTAAAAAAAGTCAAAAACCGCACTCAAAATGCAATTTAGAGCTTTCTGGCAAGACGAGACACCCAAATTAATAATGTAACATGCCACTGTTTGTGCATGAACAAGGTTATACTGCTATTTCCTTAGATACGTGATTTAAAAAAATTAAATTTTTTGAATCCCCGGCGGAACACATTCCATAAGAATCAGCGCTTTTATATATCGCCTTTAAAGGTGGCTTCTCAAAACGCTTTACAGGATAAAAACAACAATAACAGCAACAACAACAATATTGTATTTCATTGCACTTGCACTTTGAAAACCAAGTAATAACTTAACTATATGTGCAAACCTTTTATGATATGTCACTGTTGTGAATGTCTGTGGACTGTATCTTATTTTCTTGTCTGTCCTGGCTCTCTCGCTCGCCCTCCCCCCCTCTCTCCCTCAATTCAATTCAAGGTGCTTTATTAGCATGACAGATGGATACAATCAGTGTTTGGTTATTGCTTTGCTTTGAGATTCCACTTTTAAAGGTGATATATAAAATCAAGGCTTTAACTTGCTTTAACTCCGCAAGTCTGAGTTCTTGTGTCTGTCCTATCCGAAACCGAAAGTATTACAATATGTATTTTTATAGCAGGTGATGTACAACTTTTTAGCATAGATTACAATGTATTTAAAAAATAAAAACGATTACAATCTAATCTTTCCACGTTTGATCCCAAGATCCCAAGAAAAATAAATCTAAACGGGAAGAAAGTTATGCTGAAAGTTTATTAAGATACTTAGAAGACAAAGATATCAATTTATGTTGCATCTGTCTGATTGTGAATAAAAAAACACATATATTTAAACACGCGTTTACGATTTAAATCAAAACGCAATTTAAATCAATATAAATGTTTATATTGTTATGCATAGGTGACTATTCATTGTTATTAAAAAGGCTTAAATTCGATCATGTTGTGATATTTAGAAATATAAATTTGTTTGGTGCGAGTGAGGTTTTATTTAATCTGACCAAGGGAAACGTTTCATTTTTTCAAAGAAATGTTTGTTAAAAAAAAAGTC